TTTGAGCCGCTTTGTGTTTGGCAGAGCCTGGGAGGGACAGGTGACCACCAAAGGAGGAGGCAAAACGAGTTCTTAAAGGTTGGACGTGAGTGAACGCGTCAGTTTGGGACAGCTAGGAGGCAGGATGCACGGGGCTGTCTGTCACCTCTTTCCTGCAGGCCTTCTGTGGGTGCTCGTAAGGAAGGTGAGAGGCACCCTGGTGACCAGACAGAGCAGTCCCTCAGCCCCGTGGTGCAGCCTCCCGGGAAGTGTTCTCACTGGGGACAGGCACGGTGTAGCATCCGCTTCTCCAGATCCCTCTTTCTGGTGACAGGAAGTTGCTGGGAGGGCAGCAGACCCTCTAGCCCCCAGGACCCAGGCGAATATTTACCACTTCTGGGGCCGAATGCAGTAGCAGAAGCTGGCCAACCTCTCAGGCCCACGATCTCTCACTGATACAAACCCGAGTTTGGCTTCTGCCGACTGGGGCAGGAAGCTTGTGCCTGAGACAGGGACAAGTTCAAGGCCAGAGTGTCGCTGCCAAGGGGAGGAGAGGCACAGATGCTGAGGTGGCCTCGTGCTGAGGTCCGGGCCCACAGGTGCTTCTTCAGGCTTAGGCTGGACCAGAACTGAGAGCTCCCCCTGTCCCCGCCGTGAACCCCACCTGGAAGCAAAGCAGCCCCAGCCCTGTGCTGGAAGGCAGGTGTGTGGGCGGGGGTCACCCTGGTGATGCCAGTGTGCAGGGACACTTAGGAAGCTGCAGCATCCAGACCCATCCCCGGCACGAGGCACAGCCCATGTGTGGAGATTCCCACGCTCTGCTGGGGTGAATCGGAGCAGCGCCTCTGTCCCAGCGCTGGGCGGCCGGACCCGGTCCCCTGCGGGACTGGCATGTGGAGGGCCACGCCGGCCCGTTTCCTGTAGGAAAGACTGTTAGCATCAGTTTCCCCTACTCTGCAGGTGATGTCTATCATTCGACAACAAAAAATATGATGGCACACTCGGTGCCACTCGTATGAGTTTGGGTCCTTTGAGAAACAGACGCCAAGAGGGTGTCACACCTGCCAGGCTCCTATTAGGGGAAGTGCCCGCATGACAGGAAATAGGAGGCTGGAAGCAGCTGGACGAGCCGTCACACCTCCTCCGTGCAGGCGGGAGCGGAGGAGGCTCTCGGTCACCTGTGGGGCCTCGGGGGGTGGGGGGCTTCGGGCAGGGCCACTGGGGAGCCCTTGTCTTGACACCATGCCTTTGCCAGCTCCTCCCCATTTCCTGCCACCAGCCGTGGCCAGCCTCCCTTGCGTGGTGGGAGAGGTGCCAGCTGCCGTTGGCGAGCAGCCAGGAGGCCAGATGTCGGGGTGCCACCTCCCAGGGGGCACTGGCCTGGTGTCAGCGTGTCTGCAGTCGAGGTCGCAGTTACGTGACCGGGTTGTCTCTAAGCTGAAATCTTGCTCAGACCACAGGTGTCACAGTGACCCCTTATGTAACCCCTAGTAATTCTCACTCATTGGCTCAGCAGTCTGAGCGGATGACTTTGAAGAATGACTTGGATGAGCCACAGTGCCGCGGGTGCGGAGTCGGGAGGCAGACTTAAGCAGTTCGCTGGTGACCAACAGGGTTGGTCCATTACACGTTCGTTCAGTTTTGTAATTGCCAAGCATTTTCAAGAGTAATGACTGACCCAGCGCTTTCTCCTTTACCCCTGACTTACTGCTTAATTTATTCCAGAGCAGATTAGCATCAGATAAAATAAAGGCTAGCTGGGGGAAGGGAAAAAAAAAAATACAGCCATTAGAGTACTTCACGCCGAATCGAAAAGCCATAAAAGTCATTACTAGGTGATTAGAACTTTAAGAAGGAGCTATGAAACCCTTTTTCTAAAATCGTAGACAGTAGCCTGTGTTCTCTCTGTTGACTTTCGTAATTAGACAAGTGCGAGAGCTGCAAATAGAGATATCATCGATCGTGAGAGATGAAGGCTAGGATTAATTAGTCGCAGCTGAAGTACTGCAGCGAGAAGCAAGGTGCCCAAGGTGAAGGCCAGATAGACATATGTAGTAGGACCCATGGGGACGCAGCGGGGGCTTGGGAGGAAGACGGAGAGGGTGGGGAGCCGGGGCGTGAAGGAGCGAGTGAGGCAGGGAAGGCAGTGTTAGGGTTGGCCGGCTTGAGCAGTTTCAGCAGGCGTGATGTCACTCGCCGTCAGGTGCCTGCCCGGGCAGGGGCATAGTGGCCCTGAGCATGGGACCTCCCACGGAGGAGGCGGTGGGGGCGAGGGCCCTAACCTGATGGGCTGGCGTACGGAAGGCAAGCTCGCAGGTGAGTTGGTTCCCAGCTCCTGGAATCGGCCTGTTCTGGGCAGGGCTGTGTCTGCGGGGTCCATGAGGCCCCAGTTGTGGAGGCATCAGAATCCCGAGGGTAAAAGGTGGGGTTCACACACCTGCGTAGGGTCAAGCTTTCCTTTTTTTTTCCAAGTTTTTTTATGGTGACATTGGTTAACGAAATCCACTAAGTTCCACGTGTACAATTTAACAGTAAGGCGCACACACACACACACACACACACACACACACACACACACACACACACGGCATTGTGTGTTCACCTCCCATAGTTAGATTTCTTTCCGTCCCGCATATTTGACCCCCTTTACCCCGTCTACCTCCCCGCTCCCCCCGCCTCTGGTAACCACTAGTCCATTGTCCATGTCCCTGAGTCTCTTTTTCTGTCCTGTTCATTTGTTGCTTTTAGGTTTCTATCCCACATAAAAGTGATATTATGTGGTTTTCAACTTTTTCTGTCTGGCTTATTTCGCTTAGCATGATTATTCCGAGGTCCATCCATGTCGTCGCAAAGGGCAGTATTTCATCTCTTCTGATGGCTGAGTCCTCTTCCGTCGTATGTATGTGCCACAGCGTCCTCGGCCAGTCATCTATCGTGGGACTCTTCGTTTGCTCCCACGTCCTGGTGTTCTGTGCTCTTAGGATATCTTAAGTCCCTAGGCAAGCACTTCAGCAAGGCTGTCGCCTTTGCCCGGAGCCTCCCAGTGCCTGCAATATTCATCAGCAGGTCACTGTGACTGGGGCGGGGGACATCAACACACAGGTGAGGGCCTTGGCCAGGGGTGGGGTGGGGTGGGCGTCAGAGCAAGGTACGGGTGCTCATGTGAGCGTTTTTCAGGATGCCCCGGGTGCCTTGAGAAAAGCTAGCCCGTGCTAGCTCCCTGGAGTGTGGGGTCAGTGACGGCTTGTCTGATATCAGAGAAAGAGGGGAGGGAGGGACTTGGCTGGCAGCATGCTGGCGGGGCCTCCGTGTGAGGCGTATCATTAGGATTCTCTGTACAGTGGTGGGTGGGCTGGGGGGTACTGACATGTTTCTGGGCACGTCGAGAGTTTAAAAATAGAGAGTAAAGGTGACATTTCATCCTGAGTAAATATAAAGTGATCGTGGGTGGGGGGGGATATTATATACACATCATTCAGCTCCTAAATTTGACATTTATCTCAAACTCTTGTCAAACCCTCTTTTGAGAAATTATGTAAAAGCCGGCTCACGCTCGGCCTCGTCTCACAAACCAGCGGTAACAAGCCGACGGCTGATGAACTCGGGGTGCTGTGGTCGGCCCAGCCACGACGCCTCAGAGATGTCCGCCCCCCTCCCTCCGCTGCCCCCATGGTTTCAGAACCCCGCGTCCCTTAACCTGTGTGGCCGCATCCGTATCTCGCTTCCTCACTGGGTCCTTGTCACCTTGCTGCTGGGTGTGTTACTGGCAGGTGCTCAGAAAGTCCTTACTGGCTGCATGAGCAAAGGTTCTCGGGAAAGGAGGAAGAGAAGCCGTGATGGATGACGTGCCCGAAACCTTGGTTCCCGTGGCGGGCGGAGTGGAACCAGCTTTACTTCAAGCCACGGCGGCCTAAATGCCATCCGATTTGTCTCGCACGAGAGGTCCGGACTGGCCTTTCAGGGCTGGTTTGACTCCTGACAGATGTCCCCAGGGTCCCGGGCTTTTCTGTGTCTCTGCTCCTGCCAGCTGGGCAGTATGACACTTTCATCAGAATGACAGTCGCTGGATTTTCTCCCGCGGTATCTCCCAGTAGATCGTTGCGTGAGTGGTAGGTTTGAATTCTCTATGTCCTTAAACAAAAAACTTTATTTATAATGAATTTTTTTTGAGAAAAGAAATGAAGGGAATGCCCGGGAAGATGGGGAGGACTCTCCGAAGGGCCTGGCGGCCTTTTTCCAGGGAAGAATGTTCCGGTCGATTCAAGTGACATCCTGGGAGCCAAATGGAGAAGGGTCTGGGCAGGGCGGGGCGGGGCGGGGAGCAGATCCGTCTCACTGTTCAGAAATGACGTTGGGCTTCATGCTCGTTTCCTACCCCAGCCTTCAGCTGGGCCTCGTGTGTCGCGTCCAGATGCTCGGGGTCAGCTTTTCCAGAGAGTGAGACGCCGGGCGCGTGGAGGAGGGCAGCCGGGAAGGGCGAAGGAATTCATCAGTGGGTTTTTAAAAGCCAGGCCCGTCGTCATAGCGCTCTGTCCCCCGTGTCATAAGATACTTGAGCTTTGCGGCACAGGTGGGCTTACTTCCCGCCTCCCTCCACTCACTCGCTGCAGCCTAGGCAGGGCCTTTTCTGTGTCCCGATCTGGTCACGTCCTGCTTACGGTTTCAAGGCCCTTGTGTCCTGCTTTAGTACTTTTTTCTCGTCGTTTCGGTGGCGAGGGAGTGAAGGTAAGGATGCGTGTGTTCATTCGCTCACACGTCACTGGAAACCTTGCATCTAGGGTTTTCCGTAAAGTAATAGCATACTGTACATCTCTCTTTGATCTCTGTGAAATTCATGAAGTCATTCCACATCCGTTGCATTGTGGAGCTGGGACACTCGTGTAGGAATCATAGGATAATCAAAGTTCCTGGGAAGGAATCAATTTTCAAGGGAATGAAGACTCTGGATTTGTTAAAACGTGCAATGAGCCTTAAAAACAAAACAAAACAAAAAACCCAACCTACGTCTGTTTAATTTTCAGATTGCGCGCCATGCCCTTAGTGAAGAGGAATATCGAGCCACGGCACCTGTGCCGGGGTGCCCTGCCCGAAGGCATTACCAGTGAACTTGAATGTGTGACCAACAGTACCCTCGCCGCTATCATACGCCAGCTGAGCAGTCTGAGTAAGTGGCCTCGTTTCTCCAAAGACAGCTTTCCGATGACCGATGGCATTTTATTCGCTTTAACGTTAGCGAATCGATTTCAGTTCAGTAGTTACATGGTTGTCCAAAGACGAGACGACAGCTCTGGGGAAGGGAGCTGCTCTCCGGGCTTGTGACCTTCACGCGGTGAAGACGTAAAGTCGGAATTGACCCATTCATAGGTTATTAGATAGGACCAAATGTGTGGCTTTGAAGTAGTAGAACATAATTTCTAAAAGCTTGTTAACATGTGGGCAAAATAGTTTTTTAAAAAAGACTCGTGAATTATTTTGTTAAACTTGGATAGGACCGTTTTATTTAACATGTAACAAATTATACTGAATGTCGCTATCATTGAAAAATAAAAAAACTTTTTAAGTATATAACAGACCATTTTTTTTCTCTAATTGACCAATTTAGATTAAAAAATAAAAATAAAATGTGATAAATTGAAAACTAGTTCATACCTGTACTCCATCTGGCACAGAGTAGATACCCAATAAGTATTTCTTGATTTAATAATATTCCAAATGAATCAAAGAATAAAGCCAGAAGGCGGTGAGATTTGCTGATTTTTAACTTATTGAAGGTTAAAATGGAGGTACTGACTTGCAGGTTGCAGTCAGATGTGATTGTTACATATTTACGGTTCCTTGTACATGTAGGTTATACAAATACAAGCAAATACAAGCATTAGGAAGAAAAGAAAATTCTGTTCATTTGCACCATGAATATGAAATACGCAAGGAACATTCCCATGTCTGAAGACTTAAATGTGTGTGAAAATGATTTTTCCTTCAAAGCTCTTTGAAGTCGCCATGTTTTTGGTCAAACTTTCACATTTATACTGTCATCTTGCTTTCTCGCTTCGTCCTACTTCTTTGTGATTTAGAGGGTTTATGCTGCATTTTGGGTGACAGGTTTTCACAAGTAAATTTTTCTGAAACTCTGTTGAGAACTAGAAAATCCTCCATGAAATTTCACATACTGGTAACCTCAAGCTCAGGAGAATGTTTCCTTAAAAAAGTCAAGTCCTTTATTTTTAAGAAGAAACACTGTAGATAGAGAAGTATTTTTTAAGAGAACTATACTTCATTATTACTCATTAATTTTTAACATATCTATAATCAAAGGCTAAGGCAAAAGTAACTTGGAAATTACATAAATGTATTTTGAAATCGATTTGCGGAATCCAAACTAGTTACAATTGGTTTTTGGTAGAGATTGATAAAATGTATAAATTCGTATAATTACAAGAAGATACCTCGTAAATTATTGAAAGGTAAAGTGTTTCTGTTTGCATTCATATATTTTTGTAAGAAGACTTTAGTGTCCTGTTTTTATGGCTGAAATGTCCGTCGGCGTAGTCAAGCTGTATCTCATGCAGTGTTGGTGAGTTGTGTTTGTGGTGTCTGCTTGGCCACAGTCTGTTGTGAGACCTCCACACAGTGTGTTTGTCCCACATGGTCCACTTGTGGCAGGCAAAATGATAATAGCCCCTCCAAAGATGTCCACGTCTTAACCCTGGAACCTTCGGATACGTGGCTATGCTCTGTGACAAGGGATTAATCACATAACCTTAAGCGAGGGAGACGACCTTGGGTTCTCCGGGCAGGCCCAATGTCATCACCTCGTTCCTCCTTTAGACGTGGAGGAACGAGGTAAAAGCATCACCGTCAGAGCATGCGTGTGAGAGAGACTCAGTGGGCCATTGCTGGCTTCGAGATGGAAGATGCCACGAGCCAAGAACGCAGGCAGCCTCTGGAAACTGCATCCCGCTGGGGCCTCCAGAAGGAGCTCAGCTCTGCCAGCGCCTGACTGCAGCCCAGTGAAACCCATTTCAGACTTCTGACCTGCAGAACTGTCAGATGACACGTCCATGTTGTATTAAGCCACGGAGTCTCTGGCGATTGACACAGCACAGCAGCACGACTCATGCCCCCGCTCAAGCCTTGGTATGTTTTGTGCACATAATCCACCAGCCTCACGTGAGGTTCTGGCCTCGAGGGCGCTCGGCCTCCGTGGATCGCAGCCCTGTCTCTGCCACAGGCTCTTGAGGAGCTTTAAAACGAGGCTGGGAACCACCCCGCAGATTGCGATCGGACTGTGCCCGGAGATGTGGCCTCTCCAATGAGACGCTGTGCATCCAGATTGACAAGGCGAGCCGGATCCGTCTCTTTCTTTCAGGAGGGTTGAACTAAGAAACATGGTGAATTTGCTGGTTTGTTCTGGGCGCCATCGGAACTGAAGAACGCCTGGTGGCCGCCTGCGGGCCAGACTTGGGGAAGGGACGGAGCTCACGAGGAGGCAGAGGAAGCCAGTGGTGAGGAAAGCATGTACAGAAAGAAACAGGAGCTGAACGTGAGGCAGACCCAGCGAAGGGGAGAGAGCTGCTGGTCCCCAGAACCCCACGAGCACCTCCCCAGCTCCCACTCAGGAGTCGTGCGTGGGGGTCCTCGGAGCAAACCCCGTTTCTTCATGTCCCTCAAGTGCGTCTGTGCTCTCGACCCAAAGAGCCGGACAGACAGAGGAGTGTGGTGATATATATGCCAGGGGTACAATTGTGGACAGCTAGAATGCTAACTTACTAATTGGTGGTAGAATAGCAAATGATTGATTCCCAGTGATTTAATTATTAGTTTTTTCACTCAGGACTCCCCTAGGTGTGGAGCATACAGAAAATAAAACCGGTTTGGTGCCTACGTAGAAGTTCAAAAAGCATGTATAATCGACATGGTCATAGAATAGGAATTATGAAATGACTGTGATCTGCATTTTGGGGGAATCTTTAGTTTTCATGGTGTTTTCCACTGAGTAGAAATATATTAGAAGAGGAGAGGTCAGTTTAAAAATTGATCTAAAATTGTCAAAATAAGAATTTTTTAAAGAACGTTTTTGTGTTATTTTCTAATTTTGTAATCATTCATCAGGTATCTTTAAAGTGAAGTTTGAGGGATGCATGACTCTGTCATATTGTCTTTTACTGAGTAGTAATTCTCAAGATAATATCTAAACAATCTGTTTCCCTATTCCTTTGAGTTTCTGACCATTATTCTATAGGTTCACATGAGAATGAGGTATCTTAATCCTTCCCACTTCCTTCCCCTACTCCCATTAACCCCTGCCCCCCGCCAAATACCTCTTGCCCCCAGATGAGGGACAGGTGATGGACAGTTATCTGAGCTTCCTACAAATGACAGAGGCTACACCTTGTCTACAGATGCCATCTGGTGGGGAATATTAAGGCTTTGCCTTGACCTAGACCGGTCACACCTATCTGGGCAGCCACGACTTGCCCTGGGAGACCTGTGGAAATACAGAGTAACTATTCTCTGGTAGCTCTAGGGAGGAACAGGCAGCCCAGGAGTCCAGAAGGACTTTCTTCGGGTCTTTTCCAAAAAGGATCACTGGCATTGAGGCCCTGATTCACCAGATTATTCTGCATCTCATTATCTTTCTGGGGCTGTTGAGGGTCATGAGGGTATAAGAAAAGAATCTGGTCCTAGAAACAAATAGACTCCGAAGCCCCTACAAAGGGGCTTTAAAGGGCCAGAAATTTTGTCAGATTTTTACCAGGCTCTTCAGGGAATTGAAACCTTTTCAATGAGAAAATATCGATGATTGGTATTGAATTTAGGAACATTCATAGAAATGAAACAGAGGAAATTTGTAACTCGAATGGTCTTATAGTTAAAGCTTTCAAAGCTTTATTCGATGAAAATGAAAAAAAATTGTCTTTAGTAATTTTCAGATTTTTTTTTTATTTGAATCTTACTTCTGATCTGCATGTGGGGCGTGGGAGGGGTGAAGAAAGCCATTTTTTAAAATAGTTGTGGTTCGTCGTGTGTAAGAAAAACTTGGTTTTCCAGCCATGGAATCTTGGTATATTTTTCTCCAAATAATGACAGTTTCGTGTAGCAATTAACATGAAATCGGGAGTGCTTTTTCATCCTTTTCCTTGATTAATAATCCGGATGCTCTTGTTCCTATCAGCTAGTTGCTCAATTAAAATGATAGCATCTCGCAATCACATTCCTACTGATGTTATAATGCAATTTTAATGTCATTTGCTTATAAAAAGAAATGGGAGCATAGGGCGTTTGTGCCAAGGATGACGAAGTCTTTTTGGTACCTCATAGGCTGTTTTTTTTTACTCCTTTTCTCTTTACTCTTGTGATAATAGCCATCTTCCTTTTCCCCTTTTAAAACCCCCAAAATGTCACAGAGAACAAAGATGAACTTTAGTGCATCCCAGGGGTTTAGGTTATATTTGATGGTACTAATATGATAATATAGAGAACTTAATACAGGAAAACACAGAGGAAAAAAATTACAAAATTTTCAAATATCAGAAAAAATCATTGATAAATGTTTTGTATATATCTTTATAAAAGTGGTATTTCGTTATGTATATGCTTTTGTAGCCTGTACTCGATATATGTTGAATAGAATCAACATATGTCTTTGTTGATTCTAAAATACGTTTTTTGATAGTTAGAGTTTATAGTATTATATCGATATATGATAATGATTTAACCATTTTCCTTCCGTTGGACATATGTGTTGTTTCTTTGGGCGGGGGCACTATTATAAATTCTTGTATAAAATCGGTACAGACAGCTCTGGTTATTTTGGCATTTTTAAAAAAGATTTCTTATGTCTGATAAGTCATCAGACTTCATAAAGAGCAAAGGTAATTCTTACAAGCAGTCCAAAATTTTGAGAGTCCATTACTTTTAAATACGCCTCTCTATTGGAAAAAGTACCATGAAATTGATTTTTCAGTGGATGTCATGTGTAAAGAGAAAGGAAGTCTGTTTTCTTCTCACAGATTTTAATAAGTGAGTAATATTTTAACTAATACTCCTGGTACACATTATATTTCATATCAAATCAAATGCCGAATCAACATAAAAATACTGTCTTAGTGGATCGTACTGTAAGATTTTTGCTTTATGTAATTCGATCTGAAATTTGGAGTT